CTCCCACTTCTTTCGAACCTCCCTCCCCCTTCCTCCGAGCCTCCCTCCCGCTTCTTCCGAACCTCCCTCCCCCTCGATGACGAATCTGCCTCGCCCATGTTCCAAACCTCCCTCCCCCTTCTTCCGAACCTTGCTCCGCCTTCTCCCCGACCTTCCTCCCCTTTCTTCCGAACCTCCCCTACGCTTCTTTTGAACCTATCTTCTCCATGTCCCGAATAATCCGAACAACCGAATATAAAGAAGTTTACAACGTGCTCAAAACTTTTCAAATAAATGAAAACAAACGATTCAGAAAGCGAAGGAATGAACGTAAAATCAACCAAGTTTCTGAAAGTGAATGAATGAACGTATCCGAAGTTCCGAAGAAATCAAAGTCCCAAATCTGAGCAACAACATACTCTTACCCAAAAGTTTGCGAATGAATGAAAAGATTTGAAAACGAACCAAGATCCTCTGCTCATACAACCAAGATGAAATGAGAACACTGAAAAGTAAAACAACAAAGCAAGTTAATGAAAGGGGGAGGTTCGAGAAAAGGGGGAGGGAGGTTCGAGAAAGTAGGGGGAGGGAAGTTCGAAACAGGGGAGGGAATCTGATCGAAGTTCATGAACATCGATCGGAATCCCTCCCCTGTTTCGAACCTCCCTCCCCCTTCTTTCGAACCTCCCTCCCCGATCTTTTGAACCTCCCTCCCTGTTTCGAACCTGCCTCCCCCTTCTTCCGAACCTCCCTCCCCTTCTTTCAAACCTCCCTCCCATTGTTCCAAGCCTCCCTCCCGTTGTTCCGAACCTCCCTCCCGTTGTTCCGAACCTCCCTCCCCTTCTTTCAAACCCCAAACCTTCTTCCCGTTCTGAACCTTCGTCCCCTTGTTCCCAACCTCCGCCCTCTTGTTGTTCCGAATCTCTCCCCTCTCGTTGTCCTGAACCTCCCCTCCTCTCGTTGTTTCTGAATCTCCCCTCGTTACGAACTTTGTACTTCTGGAAAGCAGGGAGCGATGCCCGAAACACCGCATGGAGCCGTCACGTCAAAAGGAACGAAGAGAGAGAGAGAGACACACACACACAGAGAGAGAGAGAGAGAGAGAGAGAGAGAGAGAGAGAGAGAGAGAGAGAGAGATGGCAATGCATCTTTCCATTTTCTAGCGGATGATTCAGTCTCATTTCGTACATTTGCAAAGCAGGGGAGCCATGCCCAAAGCACCGAATGGAGCCATTACGTCAAAAGCAACGATATGAGAGAGAGAGAGAGAGAGAGAGAGAGAGAGAGAGAGAGAGGACTGACCTGATAGAGGAGCTTGCTGACGACCGGCAGCCTGATGAAGCACCTTGAAGACGACCACCACCAGCAGCACAATGGAGGACCCTGCAGCCTCCCTCTCTCTCTCTCTCTCTCTCAACCTGACGATTTGCAGTTTCTCTGTTCTTCTCCGCGCACGGGCGCGCGCGCGCGTCTGTGTGTGTGTGTGTGTGTGTGTGTGTGTGTGTGCGCGTGCGCGCGGGCGTGTGAATGTGTCGGCCGGCCTCGGGCAAATGCAAACGAACGACGGGCGGCAAATGTCAGGCGGGACACATCAAAACGCCTCCACCCGCCAACGGTCTCCAAAGATGGCAGGGAAGTGAACTTAGTGAAGTGAAAAAGGGGCCGGTCCGACCGCCCTGTGCGGCCGATACAGGCCCCAAAAATCCCCCAAACATTTTTAGGGGGGCGCCTTGGACCCAAGGAACAGGTCCAGGGTGCCCCCCTTTTTTATTCGATTTTTGGATTTCAGCCCCTACCGGACAGGCCTCCTACGGTCTGGTGTCCAGACACCAGACCCCAGACCGACTGGATGGCCGTCCGGATGTCCGCATGGTAGCCATGACGACAACAGTGTACTACAAAAGATCAACAACAACAACAACAACAATCAATCAATCAATCAATCAATCAATCAATCAGTCAATCAATCAATCAATCTCCC